GGTGATCGTGATGACGATGATGTTTCTGACAATGATGATACTGATGACGACGACGATGATGATGATACTGTTGATGATGATGATGATGATGATGATGATGATGATGCTGATGCTGATGATGATGATGATGATGATGATGATGATGATGGTGATGATCAAGTGGACAAGGCTGGTGGAGCCTTCCAGCATCGACGGTCGGGATGGAGCCGCCTGCCCCGTTCGAGTGGCACATGTGGCCCCACTCAAACCGAAGTGCCAGAAAATCCCAACCTCCTTTTACATCAGTCCCCGCGGCCCAGCAGCGTGATAGAGGTAACGGCGGCAGCACGGCAGTCTGTACTGCGTCGTGATTCACACCTTCATCGTCCCCAAACCTCCATCATCCCCAAACCTCCAGTACCTCCTCGTCCATGGCAGGCTGCCCTGAGCACGCAGCCTGCACAGAGAGCGAGACGCGGCGCACATGGGAGGAAGAGGAAGAGGAGGAGGATGAGGAAAAGAGGATGAGGAGGAGGAGGAGGAGGAGGAGGAGGAGGAGGATGTCCCCCTCGACCTCTTCATCGCCGTCCTCTCCCTGGAGCCCTTCACCGTGCCCTTGCAGCGCCATCATCGAGCCCCCCTCTCCACACATCGCCACCCCCCTTAGACCAAGTAGAGACAATCAAGCCAGGCGATAGAAGCACTCTGGTGCAAGTATTTCGCCAGGATCGGGCTGACGTTTCGTCCATTGCTGGACTTTCCTGAACTACTCTTGTCTACTGATCATGTGCCTGCAAAGGCATGGAATAATGTTCTCCAACATACATCGCTCCCCCCCCGCCCTCCCGCTCGACTGCCATGCCTCTCCTCTGCCCCCCACCTTGCCCCCCTCCCGCCCCCCCATCCGCCCTCGAGCCACCCCTTTTCCACGTCGGCCCATCCGAAGTCCTCTTTGGGCGCTGTGGGGGCCTCCGTGGGTCGCCAGCAGGTCATCGACGACGACGACGACGCGACGACGACGACGCGACGACGACGCGACGCCGACGACGACGACGACGACGCGTCTGCGCGCCACCGCGACTCTGCGCTCACAGCGTGGGCGTGGGCGCCCAGAGGCCTCGACCACAGAGGCGTGGCCGTGGGCGTGGGCGCCCGAGGACCCCTCTTGTAGCTACGCTGGGCATCTGCAGTCGTGGAGCTTGCGCCGTCTTGGAGCCACCGCGAAGAGCAGTCGGTGGGGGATCCCCCATCGACTGCTCTTCGCCGGCGTCGTCGTCGTCGTTGTCGTCGACATCCCGCCGCTGCCCGCTTGGCGCCGCGCCCGCAGCGCGCCGCAGGCAGCCACACTGACGACCGCCGCGCTGGCCGCGCGCGCTGTGAGCCGGCGGCAGCCCCGCGCCCCCGCGCGGCTGCGAGCACCCAGGGCAAGAGCCCGTTCCAAGCCCCAGTCGAGCCACGAAGAAGTCACGACGGCCTTTTCGTCGTCGTCGTCGGCGGCGTCGTCGTCGTTGTCGGCGGCGCCAGCGGCGGCGTCGCTGTCAGCATCGTCGGCGTCGGCATCGGCGTCGGCGTCGGCGTCGGCGTCGGCGTCGGCGTCGGCGGCGTCGGCGTCGTCGTCGTCGTCGTCGCCGTCGGCGTCATCGTCGTCGTCGTCGTCGTCGGCGTCGTCGTCGTCGTCGCCGTCATCGCGTCGTCGCGTCGTCGTCGTCGTCGGCGGCGGCGGCGTTGGCACCGTCGTCGGCGTCGGCGTCGGCGTCGTCGTCGTCGGGGTCGGCGTCGTCGTCGACGTCGGCGTCTGCGTCGGCGTCGTCGTCGGCATCGGCGTCGTCGTCGTCTTCGTCGTCGGCGTCGTCGTCGTCGGCGTCGGCGTCGGCGTTGGCGTCTGCGTCGTCGTCGGCAGCGGCATCGTCGGCATCGTCGTCGTCGGCGTCGGCGTCGTCGTCGTCGTCGTCGTCGTCGGTGTCTCGTCGTCGTCGTCGTCGTCGTCGTTGTCGGTGGCGTCGGCGTCGTCGTCGTCGCCGTCATCGCGTCGTCGTGTCGTCGTCGTCGGCGTCGTCGTCGTCGTCACCGTCGGCGGCGGCGTCGGCCTGTTCGTCGTCGTCGTCGTCGGCGGCGGCGGCGCTGGCGGCGGCATCGTCGTCGTCGTCGTCTGCGTCGGCGTCGGCCTTTTCGTCGTCGTCGTCGGCGTCGGCAACGGCGTTTTTCGTCGTCGTCGACGAAACGTAAGGCATCGTCGTCGTCGGCGTCGGCGTCGGCGTCGGCAACGGCAATCGTCGTCGGCGTCGTCGCGCGTCGTCGTCGGTGTCCGGCGTCGTCGTCCGTCGTCTGCGTCCCGTCGTCTGTTGTCTGGCCGTCGTCGTCGGCGGCGTCGGTGTCCGTCGTCGCCATCGTCGCGTCCGTCGGCGTCGTTCGTCGTCGTCGGCGCCGGCGCCGGCGTCGGTGTCGTCGTCGGCGTCCCGGCGTCCGGCGTCGACGTCAGCCGTCGGCGGCGTCGTCGTAGGCGTCGTCGTCGTCGGCGGCGGCGTCGGCGTTGGCGTCGGCGTCGTCGGCGTCGTCAGCGTCGGCGTCGGCATCGATGTCGTCCTCGGCGTCGTCGTCGTCGGCGTCGTCGTCGTCGGCGTTGTCGGCGTCGGCGTCGTCGTCGTCGGCGACGGGGTCGGCCTCTTCGTCGGCGTCATCGTCGTAGTCATCGGCGACGGTGCCAGCGGCGGCGTCGGTGTCGGCGTCGTCGGCGTCGGCGTCGGCATCGGCGTCGTCGTCGGCGTCGGCGTCGTCGTCGTTGTTGCCGTCGTCGTCGTCGTCGTCGTCGGCGGCGTCGGCGTCGGCAACGGCGTCGTCGTCGGCGTCGTCGGCGTCGGAGTCGGCGTCGTCGTCGGCGTCGGCATCGGCATCGTCGGCATCGTCGTCGACGGCGTCGGCGTCGTCGTCGTCGTCGGCGTTCGCATCGTCGTCGTCGTCGGCGTCGGTTTCGGCATCGTCGGCATCGTCGGAGTCGTCGTCGTCGGTGTCTTTGTCATCGTCGTCGTTGTCGCCGTCGTCGTGTCGTCACGTCGTCGTCGGCGTCGGCGTCTGCGTCGTCGTCGGCGGCGTCGGCGTCGCGTCGTCGTCGGCGTCGTCGTCGTCGTTGTCGGCGGCGTCGTCGACGTCGGCGCCGTCGTCGCGTCGTCGCGTCGTTGTCGGCGTCGTCGTCGTCGTCGTTGGCGTCGGCGGCGCCGGCGGCTACGTCAGCGTCGTCGGCGTCTGCGTCGGCGTCGGCATCGGCAGCGGCGTCGTCGTCGTCGGCGTCGGCGTCGTCGTTGTCGTCGTCGTCGGCGGCGTCGCAGTCGGCGTCGGCGTCGGCGTCGGCGTCGGCGTCGTCGTCGTTGGCGTCGGCGTCGGCGTCGTCGTCGGCGTCGTTATCGGCATCGTCGGCATCGTCGTCGTTGGCGTCGGCGTCGTCGTCGTGGTCGGCGTCGTGTCGTCATCGTCGTCGTCGTCGGCGTCGGCGTCGGCGTCGGCGTCGTCGTCACCGTCGTCGCCGTCGGCGTCCGCGTCGTCGGCGTCGGCGTCGGCGGCGTCGGCGTCGTTGTCGTCGGCGTCGTCGTCGTTGTCGTCGGCTTCGTCGTCAGCAACGACGTCATCGTCGGCGTCGTCGGCGTCGGCGTCGTCGTCGGCGTCGGTTTCGGCATCGTCGGCATCGTCGTCGTCGGCGTCGGCGTCGTCGTCGGCGTCGCGTCGTCGTCGTCGACGTCGGCATCGTCGTCGTCATCGCCGCCGTCGTCGCGTCGTCACGTCGTCGTCGTCGGCGTCGGCGTCGGGCTCGGCGTCGGCGGCGGCGTCGGTTTCGTCGTCAGCGTCGTCGTCGTCGGCGTCGGCGTTGTTGTCGGCGTCGGCGTCGGCGTTGGCAACGGCTTCGTCGTCATCGTCTTCGTCGTCATCGTCGTTGTCGTTGTCGTCGTCGTCGGCGTCAGCAACGGCGTCAGTGTCGGCGTCCGCGTCCGCGTCCGCGTCCGCTTCTGCGTCGTCGTCCGCGTCGGCGTCGCCCTCGCCGTCGGCGTCGCCCTCGCCGTCGTCGTCGCCGTCGTGTCATGGCATGATCACTGCGGGTGGCTTTTCACCACCGTCGGGCGCTGGGGGCCCCCCCATGGGCCTCAGGACGGCCCAGAAACCGACCCTGGGTGAAAGAGCCTTTGGGGCCCTTGCCTGCCTCCGGGACCTTCAGAACACGACTCAGTACCGAAGGCCGGTCTCGGGGAGCGTTGACACCAACACCAGGATCGGCGGTGTGCCCCCACCGAGGGAAGACGACCCCGACCTCGGCGATGGTGGTAACATTCTGGCTTCCAAGGTGACCGAAATGCGACCTCCGACACCGAAATCGAGGATCATCTTGCCCCTGTGGAGGCCCCCCCCCCGGGGAGGAGGAGGAGGAGGAGGAGGAGGAGGAGGAGGAGAAGGAGGAGGGGGAGGAGGCGGGGGGACGCATGGGGGAGGAGAATGCGGAATGGACGGAGGAGGAAAGGAGGAGAGGCGGAGGGGTAGCAATCTCCTAGCAGGCGCACCAACCCCAACCCTAAAACCCTCCTCGCTCCGCGCCAATATACGACCGCCCGACCTCCGCCCCTGTGGAGGCCCCCCCCCCCCCCCCCGGGCCCCAGAGCCAGCTCGCCCGAGCGCCCCGATGCGGGAGCGCTTTCGGGGGGGGTGTGGGGGGGGCCAGATATCTCGCCACCGGCAACTGACGCCGAGAGGTCCGAGAGCGAAGGGCCCGAGGACGACCAGGCGTCGAAGAGGAGGCGTCCTCCCTCCTCGTCGTCCCCTCCTCCTCCTCGTAGTCAGTCGTCGTCCTCCTCCTCCTCCTCCTCCTCCTCCTCCTCCTCCGGTCCTCCGCACTCCTCTCCCTTCCTCCTCCTCCCCTCCTCCCCTCCTCCCCGCCTCCCCTCCTCCCCCCTCCTCCCTCCTCCTCCTCCTCCTCCACCTCCTCCTCCTCCTCATCCTTCTCCTCCTCCTTCTCCTCCTCCTCCTCCTCCTCCTCCTCTCCCTCCCCCTGCTCCCCCTCCTCCGCCTCCTCCCCCTCCTCCTTCTCCTCCCCCTCCTCCTTCTCCTCCTCCTCCTCCTCCTCGTCCTCCTCCTCCTCTGGGGGCCGACGCCACGAAGCAGCCATGGCGTCGGGGGTCTGGGGCAGGCCGCCTGGCCTGGCCCGGATCGAGCCGCGAGCCCCTCGCGCTCACGGCGCGCTGCCGCGCCCCGCGTGCTGCGAGCAGCCACGGCGGGCCGCCTCCCTCGTCACTTCGGCTTGTGCTTCGCTGCTGTGGCTCATCTCTCTCTCTCTCTCTCTGTCCCGCTCTCTCTCTCTCTCCTTCTCTCTCTCTCTCTCTCCCTCTCCCTCTCTCTCTCTCTGTCTCCCCCCCCGCCCCCCTCTGAACTTCTGTTGGTCCTTCTCTCTCTCTCTCTCTCTCTCTTTCCCTCAGGAGGAGTATTCCAACATGGTATATAAAAAGTCGTCAGGGGACGATTTGTTGAGGATCGTTTTCGCTGTGTTGTCTTGTCTTGAGTGTCTTTCGACTTCTCGCCCAACACTCCGCCTGTGTAGGAGGACATGCCCGACCCAGGGCCAGCGGACGAACGGCCTGCCCGCCCCTCGCATCCGCACCCGAGCTGGGCGCCATCGGGTGCACTCTTTCGTCCGCGGCGCGGCGGCGAGGTCCGCTCCAGCGAGGAGCTCCTCCTCCTCCTCCTCCTCCTCCTC